TTCTAAACAAAGGATTTGTTGACTGATTCGAAACTCTGAGATTAAATGAAGGAAATCATCATCCATTATTCATTAGTACTGATGTACACGATTAAACTTTGCCTGACAACCTCTGCAAGCTCAGCAGTTGCGTGTGGCAAATATTTCTCAACATCTTCGACACAAATGATTTGCTAACTGCTTTAATAATTTTAATGATTAAACATGCTGCATGCAAAAGGTCTTTATCTTTTATCTCTTACATGTATAGTAATTCTGAACAAGATTAGAATTTGCCTGCCAAACTCGGCAAGCTCAGCAGCTGAGGGCTTTTAAGGTTCTTTCTCATTGGTTTTGCATTTTGATGACTTGGTGGTACGGTAATTTACATGGGATTACTTCACAACTGAACTGAAGTTACCAATATGCTAGACTTGAAATCAAGTCGGTAGTTGGCCGGGTTTAGTCCGCCTGCTCCGCCGCGTACTGCCACCATATCACCATCATTGACTACTGTTTAAGGTCCTGGGGTTACGTGAAGTGCGCAGTATAATAACACGCCGGGAACGATTCCTGCATCCTCGGCCCCATGTGCATGTACATGTACATGTACATGTACATTGCTTCCAATGAGTTAGACCTGTTGGATGCATGCCGGATGTGTAAACACGATACACGGCGCTATCGAGCACCATGCTAGTAAATATTGGGGGCCTAGTCAGACAAAACACGACAGTGTCTAATGACTTGATTTCAAGTCTACCAATAATGCTAAACCAATAACAAACAATCCAACCATTTTTTTTGGTGTGTTTTTGTGTTTTTTTTGTTACAAGTGCCAAAAAAGCGCCCCTGGTTGTCGCAGGTTTGATTCCTACCGATGGAACCATGTACAAGAACATCATAAAGCACTGCACTGTCAGAAAGACATAATTATGCATTACACAAATTTTACCAAAGATTCACATCAGATATACAGCAATATCAAGGTCTTAAAGAAATCCACCCACGACTAATAAATTGCCACAATCATATCAATCTGTTTAGAAGTTCACTGAAAAAAAAATAAAACCATTCCACTCATTCCTGCTCAAAGTTGGTCATCGCATACGAAGGACATCTCTCCAATGACATTATATCCCAGGTGTCACATGACCTTCTGGAGATTATCGCTCATTCTCCAAAATTAAGTATTACCATTCCTGACATGGGGAACACATGTTTTCTGACATGTATAGCACAATTTATGGCCATGATTCACTATGTCTGCTTTTTTATGTTGGACTGTCTGATAAAAGAATCTAGGTTGTATGTATTTTGGTAGCCTCATATAGCATCTTGTCCTTGATGGATTTTAGAATGATAATTCAATGTAAACTCCCACAGCAATGAACTTGAAGCCAGATGGCCGAATTCCTCTGAATTAATGCATATCTAGGATGATACTTTTGGCATGGGAAATGAACCTTTCACCCCATATCATGCTTGCCATTGCTGTCTTTTGATGAATGTCCAACTTGAATGTTTCATTATAACGAAACAACAATTTTTTCATGTTTTGGGCATCTGCAAACCCTCTTAAAAAAACAACCTTTTATTTTCGGTTGCTTTTTCTCAGATCTTTGAACAGATCTGTCCTATTAGCAGACTGATTCCCAGTCCCTATATTAATTATTATTCGATTCTGATAGGGGTAGGAGCCAGTCTACACCCTGCAAGCACAAATTCATACAGAATCTATTCTATGACTGATGGTTTGCAAAATTTTTTGTTTATTTGATGTCTCATTCAAACATTATTTTTTGTTGCTAGAAAAAAAACCCAACCTTTTTTGGAGTAAAACTTGAAACAGCACAGACAATTCATCTAAGAGGCCTAATTGCACATGTTTATGGCCATCTCTGTGTCTTGTGACCCAAACTGAACTTTGTAGATTTCAAATTGTAATATACACGTACATGTATGTTAATATACCCACTGAATAAGCCACTTGCGTGTTAGATTTGAATAAAATCTGGAACGCTGACTTAATACAAGGCTTTGCACGTTTTAACCTAGCATTCTCCCGACCAAAGAGACTGTTACTATATCACGTGATTCGGGGCAAGCCTTATGCTAGCAACCCCCAGCTCCGGCATGGTCTGGTGTCTTTGTGCCATTCTCACCCATTGTGAACGATGTATTGGTGCTGAGCGTCTCTTACGTAACTATGCAAGAGCTTGCCCCGAATCATGTGATTAGCAACAGTGTCTTTGGTCTGGAGAATTCACAGTTAAAATGTGCAAAGCATTCTGAGCAAGTCATTGTACCAGACGTTTTTCAAATGTAAATCCCAAAGGTTATAGGTTACACGCAAATGGCTTATTAAAGGCCCTGATGCTTATTAATATCTGCACACTTAATTTGTTTTCAATTGGTTTCAGACCAATAATCTGTGACCCTGTCACCCCTGATTAAATAATGACCTAATTTCAATTGAATGGAATCAACCGAATTGATTGCTTTGAAAGCAATTCATCTACTTTAGGTTTGATCCATACCATAGCTCCTTCTACCATAGCTCCTTTGATCCATATTATAGCTCCTTACATAGCTCTTTCAACCTCCCCCCCCCCTTACTGAATAAAAAAGCAACAAATTACCCAAGCATTTAATTTTTTTCAGTAATCCACACAAATGCCATCAAAAACTGGTTACCTCAAAATATGACCTGTTTCAGCAATAGCAGCTACAGTATTTCTGAACGGGGCACAAGCTTTGAGGTTGGGCAAATTTTATAATTTCCAAAAGAAAATTTCACCCTTATGCCCCAACCTCTACAGACTATGGACTGAACCCTCTTTTTTTCTATTTTGACTCCAACCACTGTCTGTTAAAACAATGGCTGTATTTATCTGCGTTTTTGTGGCCATGATCAACAAATCAAGGTCTACGGAAATTTCTGTCATCTTAGGCTTGAGGGAAGGGCGACATTTATTAGAGGAGTAATTCCGTCACTAAGTGCCCTAAGTGGATGAGAGGAACTGTTTATGTAACACCAATAACTGGACACAATGGCTGTCTGGGTTGCATAAAACTGTGAGCCAAAATACTTTCTAACCAAATTGACATTTTCAGTTAAAGAGAAATTACAACATTTGCAAACACCAAAAAATAAAACTACCAAATTATTTTGAAATTACCTTGCTGGACTGTTAGTGAATGACAGTCTAAAGCAACCTGTAAAATCATGGCGCCTGGTATACTGTCGTTTTCAAGAAAAGTGGTATTTTCGTATCAATATCCAACGCTGGTCGGCCGACCAGCATTGGAAAAAAATGGCCTTTTTTCAAATACTGGCCCCAATTGACCATATTTAGTTAGTCCGCATTTGTTTGCAATCGATAACAAATCTATGAACGGGTTCAAGCCAGCTAGACTGTTTCCCTTGCCTATTTCCCAACATCTATAAATTGCTCCGTTTCATCTTAAATTGAGTCAGGGAACCAGACATCAGGAAAATGATTTTTTTTGGTTTTTATAGCATCTTGTCTACGAACCCAAAACGTCAAAAAAGTCAGTGTAACAATATTTGCGATGTATTACCAACCCCCCAAATCCATCCATTTCTGAAAATTACAGCAAAAGCAAATCCCCCTTTCAATCAGAATAAACGCGATGAAGAAGAAAGTGCAAGATATAACTGACGAGGCTGTTTATGATTCCCCCTTACCTCATACATTGATTGTGGACAATAAAAATAGGGAGCTTCTGTGGTAGGACAGACACATGGAGGGGCTTGCCTTGTCCCCCCCCCCCCCCCCCCAAGGAAAAGCAAAAAAAAATGTTTTAAAGGGAGAAAAAAGAAAGAAAAAGAGGCGCAAAGTCATATTGCTGTTAATTTAATGGGTTGGGGGCAGCAAATGTACCTGCCCACCCTTGAAAAATGATAAGTTGAGAATATGCTGGAAAAGGACAGGGATTTCAGGGAGAAAAGTGCTTCTGCCCCCCCCCCCCCCTAGAAAATTCCTGGCGACGACCATGGACAGACACTCAATAATATGCCAGATGGATGGCTCCACTGAATAAAATATCTGATAATTTTGCTTAGCCCTAACAAAATTGTGCCTTTTCACTGGCACTTGTCCTATCAAATTTCAAACTATAAAAAAAAACTCCCTTAAAGTTATCAGTACACAATGTTGCCTGTGTTTATGATAAAAGAATTGAAAGGAAGTCCTGCATCACTCCTCACTGGGAGCAAACAACATGCGCAGGAAATTTTAACATAATAGAATTGATGAGTTAATCCTCACGCTGTCTAACAGGATGCCCAGATATTACTGTGAAGACATTGATTCTAAATTGCCAATCGGATTAAAAAGCCACAGAAAGGTCAAACCAATAAAGAGTGTCAGAAATTTCTGGCAAAAAGTTCGTTGAGATTTGGACTGGTGGAAATGACAAAATAAGAAAACACAATTTTGGGAGAGATTTTGAAGCTATAGGACCAGTAGAATCAGTCACTTCAAAGTCAAACAGTGCACATTATCTGCAAACGTCTCCGACATGTAAGTTAACTTGTACTTGCCACCATTCAAAAGCTCAAATCACAAGTTTTGACCAAAGAAAGACAGATGAGAGGAGGCTGACCAAGGAATTGTTTGCTTCATCCATACAAGAGGAGTTCACCATTTAATGCATAGCTCAGTGCAACAAGTGCAGTGGTCGTTGTGCTAGCCACTTGTCATAGCCATTTTAAGAAGCCCTTTAGAATTGTGTTCCTTGTGCTCATCAACTGTTCGAGTTTTGTTCTCTTAATCATTTATTTCTTTTAATCCAACCCCCCCCCCCCCCAAAAAAAAAAAAAACACACAAATTTCTCTTTTGGGGTTTCTTCAAACTTCTGGGGAAAAAAGGTTTTTATTTTTGGAACAGACAGATCCGCCTTGCGAGCCAACTGGCTCTCAGTCCATACATTATTGCTGGGCCGCCAGTCATCCACAATTTGTAAACTTAAAAAAAAATAATATAAATCTCACCTTTTTGGTAAAAGTCGGTGTTGTTTCCTTAGGTTTGCTACTCGTTACCATGGAGTGCTGGATGTCTGTAAATCTATCGTTGATTCTGCTGACTTGCTGTCTGTTCTGGAAATTTAACTGAGGAAGGAAAAGAAACATTTTTGAGCTGTATTTTCCTCACTTATCTTTTGAGAAATACTTAATGCTGGTACTAAACTTCCTATGATAATGTGCCCTTAAGGAGACTTTTTTGGTCCTATGTTATACATTAGGGAGAAACCGGACATTAGGCAACATTTCAATGTCGCAACTCCTATTTAGAGGCAAAATTTTAGTGTTGCAAATAGGCTAAATTGATTGCAAATGGTCCAAAACATAAATATACCAAAATTAATGGGGGTGGGATAAGGGAAAATTGGGGTTAGGGGTCACTAACGTTCAAAATATTTTCTGCACAAACTTGTGGGAATGTTTCCCTATGGTACCATTCCCCGCAGTAATAATTTATTTTTGAATATTTCGTAAAAGGTTATTGTGCAACTAAATTGCATTCAAAACCAACTATGGTTAAAAAACGGCAAATTATCATTACTAGAAAAAAATAAAAATAAAACCAGAAACTGGCCTTGATTTAATGCACTTATTTCTCTTTCAGTTGTTGGCTAATGTACACTTTAGGCAAACTGTTTTGCAACAAAGGCACAAGAAAAATCCAGAAATAGTCCAAAAAATAATAGTCTGCCAACACAGTCAATCATGTGTCCCATAAATGTCTCACCCAAGGTCGGCCATGTTTTATCACAAGTCAGCCATGTTTTATTGCATCCTGAATGACCTTTCATTTCAACATAAAGTTCATGTTGAGCACTCAAAGGATTATCTTACCCAACCAACCGGAGACATCAAATTTTGATTTTTCCCCTTTTTTTTATCTGATGGAAACACATATGAACTCTCTTTGACACATGAAGCAAGGCAGAACCGAGCTCTGCACTGCAATAGGAAATCCTGTATGAGGCAGTTACTAAATCTGCAGTAATGGGCAATTGAAACTTTGTCTTATTATTAGGTAAACAGTACTGTATTTCTATAAGAGCAGAGAAGTTTTCGGCAATCAAGAACGGATGGAGCTTTCAGAAAGGACACATAAAAACCCAAGAGATTTGGCATCACTTATTACCTCCGCCAAGGAGGTTATGTTTTCATTGGATTTTGTTGGTTGGTTGGTTTGTCTCATGAGATACCTCAAAAATGTATGGACAGATTTGCATGAATTTTTTCTTTGGGGTGGTCCTTGCTACAAGTACAAATCGATTAGATTTTGGAAGTGATCCGGATCTGGGTCTGGACCCAGGATTTTATCAAAGGATTTTTTTCACCATTTTATGTGAGCATTTCTCAGAATTCTGGTAGCTGATTCAATGACTCCAACCTCGAAAACAATGTTCAAAAAAAATTCTTATGCCTTTAGCTGAGAAAACCTCGAAAATTATGTTTAAATTATTATCTTTTGTGCTAAGACAATCATTGGTTAAAGTGGTAAGAAATTGCCTCAGATCACACCACAGAGCATCGAGAATCCAATGAGCCTATAGCTCAGAATACCGATAGCTGATTCAACGACTCCAACCTCGAAAACGATGTTCAAATAATTATCTTTTGCTAAGAAAAAATTAGTTAAAGCATGGAGGAAAGTGGTAAGAAATTTCTTCAGATCACACCACAGAACATCTAGAATCAATTTTTTTTTTTTCGGGGCCCTTAAGCGGGCCCCGAACCCCACGCCGTAAGGGCTTCGCGCTTGCATCGGTTCTGATCAAGGTACAAATGTCCGCCCCCCCCCCCCCCCCCCCCCCCCCACTTTTGAGAAGCGATTGATGCCCCTGCATGACGCCCCCCCATGAAATGTTCCAGCCCCCCCCCTAGCCCCCCCCCCCCCCCCACTGAAAAATTCCTGGCTACGCCACTGTATGGGGTTAAGGTATGGGGTACCCCTGGAAATATGACAAATATGCATAAAACATAAAAAGACGAATTTATGCCCACAGTTGCCTCAGAATCACTTTTATAGGCTCTAATTCTTTTATTTTCCTGAGAAGCCTCAAGACCTTCTGGTTTGGCATCTTCGGCACTTACATTTTGACGACAAGCACTGTCTAAATCTCTGCGGCCACTTATACTGACAGAGCATAGAACTAGCCCTATGGACAGAGTGCTGTGCATGCCCCCCTCTAGATGTCCCGGCCTAGCCTGTAGTTGTGAGGTGCAGTGGCTAGGCCTACATATTTTTGAAGCTTCTTGGCGAGTCAGTCAGCAAAAATGTAGTTTTCAATATTCTCATTCAAATCAAATTGTCAAAGTCACTTATTTCCACAGCCCTGAAAATTGCAAGGTCAGCACCCCTCTAACCAAGGAGAGACAAATATCCTCCATGATATACCCAGCAACCAAGACATCTTCATATTCTGTAAACCATGGTGTGGAGCATAATTGAAAACCATGTGTGGGCAGTGACATACAATTTCTTGGTCAAACCAAACCAGCATGACGTCTACAAGAAATACTTCCAATTATTGGCCAAATAAAAGACACAAATGTCATCAGCACAAATCAGAATGGACACCAGTTACAACATTTCAACTGTAAATGCAATTTGTGCTCAAGAAGTAATTCCAAACAGTACTTTTGTTATTAAGTTTCAATTTTGCACTAGTTGGTTTCCATTGAGCATCTAAGGAAGAATTGTAATTGGCTCTGCTGGTGTTTTTCTTTAGTGTCAATAAATGCATTGCAGAGTTGCTGACCACACCAAAGAGCAAACCAAAGGTCACAGAGCAAACCCAAGGTAAATTCACAGGGCAGGTTGATCAGCAAAGAGTCAGATTGCCACAGAAAAAAACACTATTGATATTAGGCCTGCGAGTATTCCGAGTAAAATCAATTTATTTTCAATTGATTGATCCTCAGTTTAGTTTGTTATGGTTTCAATTAATTGAATGAACAATTTATATAAGATTATGCGGACATGAATGTGTCAATAACTAATCATTCACTCACCTATTCAGAACATTGGTCATGACTGATTATCACAATGTATGTCTGTCTTTATGTCCGTACTTTCTTGTCAAAGAGATATCCGTGGATTTTGTTTGTTTGTTGGTCACAGATGGCCAGTCTAGTGTCCTCTTTTTAAAAGTCTCACTGACTGACTGACTGACTGACTGGTGACTGCTCTTTGTTCTGACACCCCTATGTTCCGACACCCCTATGTTCTGACAACCTGCACATAAGATTGCGTTACTCCCGGATGGGTTAGGGTTAGGGTTTAGGGTTAGGGTTAGGGATAGGAATATGAGCATTAGGAACACAGGTGTGTTGGAACATAGGTGTGTCGAAACATTGGTGTGTCGGAACATAGGTGTGTCGGAACATAGGTGTGTCAGAACAAAGGTGTGTCGGAACATAGAGGTGTCAGAACATAGGTGTGTCGGAACAAAGGTGTGTCGGAACATAGGTGTGTCGGAACATAGGGGTGTCGGAACATAGGCGTGTCGGAACATAGGTGTGTCAAAACAAAGGTGTGTCGGAACATAGAGGTGTCGGAACATAGGTGTGTCGGACCATAGGTGTGTCGGAACATAGGTGTGTCAGAACATAGAGGTGTCGGAACATAGGTGTGTCGGAACATAGGGGTGTCGGAACATACATGTAGGTGTGTCGGAACATAGGTGTGTCAGAACAAAGGTGTGTCGGAACATAGAGGTGTCGGAACAGTTACAGCCCGGTAGTCCGAAGGTTGGATAGTCCGAAGGCTCTTTAGTCCGAAGGGTCATTAGTCCGAAGGGTCATTAGTCCGAAGGTTCAATAGTCCGAAGGTTCGATAATCCGAAGGTTCGATAGTCCGAAGGGCCCATTAGTCCGAAAATAGAATAAGGTTAATTAATCCGAAGGTTCGATAGTCCGAATAGACAATGGGGTTTGATAGTCCAAATCGACAATAAGGTTCAATAGTCCGAATAGATGATAAGGTTCGATAGTCCGAATGTACGGTAGGATTCGATAGCCCGAATTGAGAATAAGGTTCGAAGGTCCGAATGGGCAATACGGTCCGTCAGTATGACACTTCGGACTTTCGGACCTTACTCTTGATTCGGACTGTTGGACCTTATTGTCGATTCGGACTATCGGACCTTATTGTCGATTCGGACTATCGGACCTTATAGTCTTTTCGGACTATCAAACCTTATTGTCAATTCGGAATAATGAACCTTCGGACTAATTAACCTTATTTTCGTTTCGGACTACTGAACCTTCGGACTGATTAACTTTATTCTAAATTCGGACTATCGAACCTTCAGATAAATGAACCTTCGGACTAATGAACCTTCGGATTAATGAACCTTTGGACTATTGCATCAAATGTTCGGATTAACGAACCTTATTTCATTTTCGGACTAACGAACCCCCTTTTATGGGAATTTTGTGCATTCGGACTATCGAACCTTCGGACTATCGAACCTTCGGACTATCGGACCTTCGGGCAGCCCCCGTTGGAACATGGGTGTGTCGGAACATAGGGGTGTCGGAACATAGGTGTGTAACCGACTGACTGACACTGATCAACTGACTCACTGAATGTCAGTGTCACTTGTGATCTGGGTAGCGCTATCGTATAGGATTACCCCATGGCATTAATGAATGGGCTAATAATCTGGCCCATCGTGGAGACCACATGCATGAAAAGACTTCAAGTGAAAAGCCATTAAGAATCAAATGAATAGAATTCTGTGCATTCTGGGACCAGCTTTGCTTGCCTCATCTTGTTAGGTTGATTGGCTTGAGAATTGTTGTACTCTTGCACCTTCGGGAGACAGAACTCTTCAATTTGACTTTGTCGGTGGTCTTCACTTTGCCAGTTTACAACCAACCAAACTGAGACCGCAGGACACCACTCACTCGCCTGCCATCTGCAACCCGTCTTTCACCAGCCTTCAAGACGCTGTTATTCCTTGGATTACCCAATTAATATTTAATTTATAGCTCAATTAGGACGAACTTCAAAGCAATCTCAATCTTGGATGATTCTCCTGAGTCCCCCAGTCAACATTTTCCTAATCTTGGCCGCTCACACCTCCCCAAGGGCATTGCTTCGGGCATGGTCATGGTGCAGCTAGCACATTTTTGTAGGGTTGGATATTTATAAGCTAATATTATCCAACCCTGTGACATATTTCTGGCCCTTTGGAGGACTAAAGATATTTGTTTGCAAAATTCAAGGCTGATTGAGAATGCAATGAAATATTTCTCCCCCATGATGTAGAATGACACAAAGCACGAAAGCACATGAGGGCAAGTTGACTCAGAAATCTAAACCAACTTTGATTGCTTGTTGAACATTTCTCATATTTCTCTTCAATCAGATTTGAAGTTATACATTTGATGCATTTTGCCATGCGTGAATGTTGCTAAGGGCAAATTAAGATTATCGTAGAGCATGCTGATCAAGGACATAAGCAAGAATGTTCAAGCATGGTGCCTCTCTCATCATACCAACGCAGCTAGGCAGGTATTTTTGAAATGACTGTATTACAGCAGTGCAGGGTTTAAATAGAGAAGTAAATCATGGTGGTAGTCCTGGCAGGCATAACATCGCGAGTGTTCAGTGTGCAAAAAAGTTTTTAGTACTGCACTCTAGTCCTTTTCCATGTGTGACAAATATCCTGAAATATGCAGAAGGGCAATTCCACGGTTACTCGCGCTACATTTTTGATGTACTTTTGAGATTCCTTGGGCTGTAATTACCTTACTGAAAAGGTTTAATAACTGTTATCCCCATGGTAGATAGAGTAGACCTAGACCTTCCTAAGCACCAAAGATGACATCCAGAAAAATGTGTTATGCATGATAAACAAGTCACAAAATCAGTTACGAAAATGTAACGTGAGTAACCGATTTTGTGCATCTTGTTTATCATACATAACACATTTTTCTGGATGATGATGTTGTTGCTTTAAGTTGATGTCAAGGCTTGATTCCTGCTTCATGTATCATCCTTACAAAAGCGTACAAATTGCGGATTTCGACTTCAACTCTAGCTACTTTAAAAAGCCTCCAACAGACCAAAATCCAAGGAAGTTTCTTTTTTAAACCTAGCTCTTTTGCAATGTTCTTAATGAATTTCTGAAAACTTCAGGAATTTTTCAAAACCTTAATTCCAACTGGTAAATTTATAGAATGTACCTTTTGATACAGCACCTCCCAATCAATAGTTCAACCCCCCTCCAAAGGCCAAAATATCTACGAAAAGCAACAACCAACAAACCGTTGAAAAAATCAACATTATCACTAATAGTAACCATGCCAACACTCACCCTCTTCAGGTTTGTGGAGACTACTTTGGCTTTGTGCTTTGCCTTGGTGGCTTTGTGCTGCGATACTTTGAAGGCTTTGTGGGTTGCCGGCTGCTTTTCACTGGTCCCCTTCGCCTTGACCAACTGGCTCTTCTGTTTCTTGGCTTTGCCCATTCTACCGCTGGCTCAAACCTTTGGGAATAAAAATGGCAGGCAATCTAAAATTCAACTACAAATATGGATTGCATTGTTAAAATAGTAAACATTTTAAATGTAATTCTCAATTTTATTTATTAGCATCTAAAACCGGCAGTTCCTGAAAATTGCACAGGCAATTTAGTTGGAAAGCCTTATAATAATAATAATAATAATAATAATCGGCATTTAAGAATGCTCATTATTAGTAAACTAAATCACAGCGCTTACAGTATTATTATTACCCCTGATCATTGGGCCAATTAAACATTCCGAATACCATCTCAGCTCCCTGCGGAGTATACAGCTGGATGCTGCCTGTTAGCTTAAGCAAGCTTATTCAATCACAATAACCATCTCTGCCCTCACAGGTACCCATTTACTCCTGGGTGGAGAGAAGCAATGAGTGACAAAGCGCCTTGCTCAAGGGCACACGCACCATGACCCCGGCTGGACTTGAACCCACAACCCGCATCTTTACCCACAGACCACAAATCCAGTGCCCTTAACCACGAGGCCACAGCACTCCACTCCAAGCCTTCAGAAAACTATATAGAGATTATGATAAAAGTTCAGTTGTTGAAGAATTAAACTCCAAAACTACTTTCCAGAGAAAACCTAGATAGGGACTGGATACCCAAACCACATTATTGGCATATGTGGGATGTGAACCCAAGCCACAGAGGTAAAGGGTAAAAAAGAATAGCACTACACCAATCAGACTCTCCTTTGCAGAAAGTTTTTTTCACAAAAACTCAATATTAAAGCCTTAAAAAGTTTAACACACTAAGCAATTCCAAATTTGACAGTAGATGACAAGTTCGTAATTGTCAATCTTCAGAACAGAAGACCTGCTGTTTTATTTTCAAATAAATACAGTCCCTCTCTGGCCAGCAATTTCAACAAGACCAGCCCAGCGGTCAAAATAAATCAAGTGACTGTTTCTTGACAGTTGAGTGCTCCCTGCCTTCATAACTCAGGATTGACTGGCTGTGATTGTTATGAAATCTGATACAGCTATGCTTTGACTGTAGGAGATTGATAAGCCAGCTGTGTCTACCAGTCGCCTGCTTTTGTCTGTTGATTGAATTTGACTGTTACAGTGCCTACAAGAAATATGATCTGACTGTTGGTGACTAGCCTGTGTAATAAAGCATGGCAGGGGAACGGGATTGAATTTTTGATTGTCTGTGACTGGTCAAACAAAAGGAAGGTTTATTTACAGGTATATGCCTTTTATTTCCAATTATCCACGATCTTGTAAGAAAAAAACCACACTGTTTCGGCTTTTTACTCAGTTAGCATAATATTACGGCAGATACATGTAGGTGATGGGATTGTGCCTTTGATGATACAAGCATGGCATTTGGCACACAGAGTACGTCATGAGAAAGATATTTGGCTACAGGGCCATCGCATACTTGTCCTTTGAACAAATATAGGAAGCATAACAAGCAATGGCAGCCATTTTGACAATTTTGAAACTTGCTTCTCACTCTATATCAAAGGACAAATTTGCGATGGCATAGCCAAATATCTTTCTCATGACACACTCTGACTGTGTGCCAAATGCCATGCTTGTATCATCAATTCCCCCAAATATTTCCCCTATCTGTACCACTATAAGTACCGGTATTTGATTTCTCTTTTCTTTTCATCGTGAATAATTGCAAAAACAGTTTGACAGATGCAGCTGCAGTCTTTTAAATTGGAAAAAGTACCTTTCTTGTACAAAAAAAGGAAGATAATCAGTATATAAAAATTTGACATTCGTGAGAACGACATCGCCTTTTACTGATCACATTTTTCCAAGTCAATTCCCTACGGAAATCAAAAGTAGTCTGAGCCCACTTAAAAAGGATCACTCCCTCAAAGACTGTGAATCAAGTTCTGTTATTGTTATTTTAGTCCAACCTTCCCCACCCTGGGTGGGAAATCCGCACAGGAATCATGAAAATGTTTCTAATCCTCCATTTTGCACTTCATCGATGAAAACATCAAAGCGCACGAACGGACGAAGGGAATTGGCCCTTAGGGGAATCACGCTCTGAGGGAACAAACAGTGACAGGGGTGCGCACAGGGGGGCAGACCAAGGTTCCCGCAGTGGGCCAATTATTTCATTTTAGCCCAGATTGGACCAAAGATATTATTTCAGATTCACAGGGTTTTTATCCCAAGGCAACAAAGAGAACAGCAAATCACGGACCTTATGGTCCAGGCCTGAATCAGGCTGAAATGGTATGCATACTTTAGGGTTTGGCCAAGAAAATCTAGCACTGACAAATGTACCAGCAGCTAGAATCTTTTGTTCACAACTTTCTTCCAAAGAAAAGTTTGGATGAAAAAAACCCACAATGAATTCACACTACATGTACATGAAAAACATAGAGTCCAATCAAACTAGCTGCAGAACTGCAAGCAAGTGCAACAACTTCTGAGTTTTACAGAGGCAGCTGCTAAACACTAGTCTGAGTATCAGCCGTTATCCACGGAGTTTTACAGAGGCAGCTGCTAAACACTAGTCCGAGTATCACCCGTTATCCACGGAGCCAAGTCTCCTGTATAACGTCTAATATGTCAGAGCATGCAGATTTATGGGATTCACGCCTCTGCCAATCGGAGTCGACTTTACTACATCGTGACGTCATTTCATTCCCAAATCAGGACTAAACATGTGATTGGTCAATTCGAATGCAGTGTTTTGTAATACTGACAACAGCCGGGTGCGTATCACGTACATGTAACAATATACAGAGTGCGTGACCACAGCCTTTGTTGCTGTGTCTAGGTTATTTTTTTTTATCCATGTCTATGATGACGCGACAACGATGAATGACCGAAGACCTGATATAGAAAGCTCCCGCTGATTGGTCAAAATCTAGAGGTCAAGATGCAGTTATCTTGCATAATTTTGCCATGGTCTATTACATACACTAGCTAAACACAGGATTGTGCTTATAATTGCAGAAAGTATTTGCTTTGCAAAAACAGATTTACCAGGGACATTGCTATACTGACCAGTGCTCTAGTACTGTCACTGAAGTGATTTTCTAGGTAAAAGTAACAAGAATGCAGGGAAGGTGTGTCACCAGCCTTACTACCTTTGCAGGCCTGACAAGTTTTCTATTAAACATCTGAGGTATAAATACTTTCTTATTTAGATTCCTGAAATGGCAGGCAGAATGCCAACAAACTTCCTGAATTGGCCATTGTGTCCAGTCTCATAAATCATAAATTATTGTCATTGTTGATATTTTTTTTTCTCTTGTGGGACTTACAGAAACCAGGTCAGCCAAACTGGCCTCTGGTATGGCAACGTTTATCATCTTTTTTGATATTGTCAGGATGATTGTGAGGGGGACAAAAGACAAGAAAAAAGGCCCGGACGAACCGGCATAACTTCAAACGTTGGGGAGGCTATGCGCCTCGGGCTAATGACAGCTCCTCTTCAGTAAAAGTTCAGTTCCAGTTTAGCCTATGAGGGGAACCATTTTTATTAATCAACCAACCCACAAGGATTCAACAATACCACTTTTATGATTCCACATGGGAAAAAAACACAAAAATTTTAAAAGCATGGGACTGGACAAATGAAAACACGTATAGGAAATGGATTGGAAAGGAATGTGGGTTTGGTGTTCACCGTGGAATCCAATGTCATGGCGACAGTTGGGTGGAAATTTCCCTCTAAGGGGGCATATTCTAACTTCAAACAATATGAAATACAAAACCTGACATTGAAAGGTGGAGGGATCAATCCCCTTGCATGACATGATTTGGCTTCGAGGTGAGCCAAGCCTAGTTCAAGAGTCCAAAATTTGAAATATTTTGTGGTAACACTTAAGAAAAATGCAGAAACTTACATGTATACATGTAAGTCACAATGGAGAGGGTTGTGTGATTAAGGTTTTCAATCCATCTCTAACTTCCATAAAATGGGTGCATACCTATGTTCCCCAATACCTATGTTCCCCAACCCTAACCCAAACTCTCTAACCCTAATCCTAACCTTAACCCTAAGGATTTTTGGGAACATAGGTATTGGGGAACATCAGGTAGACCCCTTTATATAGACTGTTGATCATGTGTCCATTACACAACACCATAATGGAACCAAGACCAAGGCTTATACCACATTTGTTAGACCTCACTTAGAGTACAGCTCGGCTGCTTGGGATCCATATACACAAGATCAGATAACGCAGATTGAAGCTGTCCAACGTAGAGGAGCAAGATTTGTGTTCAGAGACTACGACTACAAGAGCAGCCCATCTGCTATGATCTCAGCACTGAAATGGGATACTCTCTCATTGAGAAGAAAGGAACACCGCCTCAACGTCTTCAACAATGGAATACACGGTCACCTGGCCCTCCCGGCAAGAACCATCTTACGCCCGACCACACGCTCATCTAGATTCTCAAACGCTAACACCTTCCTCAGACTACAAGCAAGAAAGGACTGTTATAAATACTCCTTTTTTCCAAGGACTGTAACCGAGTGGAATCAATTACCTGTGAATATTACATCGATCACTGACAAACTATCCTTCAAGCAACAACTGTACAAGCACTTAAGAAACTAGAATCATCCATGCGCACTCACAACCCTGCTCGGTTTACTCCAACTGCAACGCAACAAGGAGTGTTGAGCAGTATTGATGCAGATGCAGATGCTCGGTCATGAGAGGTGGGAGGGGCTAAGCAATGCAAATCGGGGTGGGGGTTAACCTTTGTCTGTTGATGTGTCTGTTACACAATACCATAATGGATCTAGCCTGGTGATGAGAGGTGGGAGATAAGCAATCAAAAAGGGGGGGGGGGGGACCCAGTCAATTATAGAAGCAAAGCCTTCTCGATATCATGCACTCATTCCAAAAACAGGGCAAGATGTGTGTCCCCCCCCCCACCAACCCTCAACATGACTGCCAGTATGTTTACAATTAAGGATTTCAACCCTCCTCCCCGGGCACATGGATGCTACACCACATGGATACCC